CCCCCCGCGCCGGCCGCGCCGCCAGCGCCGGCGGCGGCCGGAGCGAGCCCGGGGCCGCCCCAACGCCCCGGTGCCGTCCGGCGGCGACCGCCGGAGGATGCCTCGCCGCCGCCGATGGCCGCGGCCCCGACGGACCCGTCGCCGGAGGGGCTTCTCCGGCCCGGTCAGCGCCGAGAGCCGGGGATGCGGCGGGTCGGGGCCGCCCCCAGAGCCGGCGTTCCTCGCGGGACGCCCTCCGGCCGCCTGAGAGCCCCCGCGCCGCGCATGGGGGTCACGGGGCTCCCCCGCTGCTCCGCGACCGCCGCGGGAGGAGAGGGAGACCCGCGGGCAGCGAGAGAGGGGAGCGGCACAGCCGCACCGCCGCTGAGCGCCGCGCGGTTTCTAGGCCATCACCTCCCCCCCGGGCGCTGCCCGCCGGAGGGGCCCAGCCGTGCCCCGCGGGGGGGGGACAAACAACCGAACTTCGGCCAGAAAAGGGCACGGGGCAGGGGCTCGGGGAATGCTGCTGGGGGAGCGGGAGCCGCGGGAGGGACCGGGAGGCAGCCTGCTTGGGAAGCGGGGAAAGGGAAAGAGGAAGAGAGAGGGAAAGCGTTTCCCTTTCGAACGGCGCCGGGACGGTCCGTGACTTTTGCATGGAAAATTCAGGTGATGGGAGTTAGGCCCGCTCCTCGTCCCGGGACCGGAGGCAGCTGAGAGCCCGGCAGCAAGCCCCAGCCCGATTGGAGCAACAGAGAGAACAGCGCGGGGAGCTGCTGGAGACGACAGTTCGGCAGAAGGCGGCGGGGGGGAAGAAGGGGGGGTTGCGGCTGCGGCCGTTCCACGTTCCCCCGCAGGAGCCGGCGGTACCAGGCGGGCAGCAGAGCTCCCCGTACCGGGCCGGGCATAAATCCTCCTGTCAGGGAGGGGGCAATTACAAGGCCGTAAAAAAGTCAGGAAGATGGATGCTCTTGAATGATGATTGATTGCTATTTGTGGTGCTGTTCTAATGGGAAGCCCGAAGCTGGATCCCGAAGCCAGCGGGCGACGCTCCTTCCAGCGCCCCGGGCTCTCCGGTTCCGCGCTGTGCCCGCCCCCGGGTGCTCCAGGGTGCTGCCGTAGGGCAGGGGCAACCCGCAGCCCCCCAGCGGCACGGTCCCACTGCAGGGCGCGGAGCAGCATGCACTGACATCAACCGCGGAAGAACGGAACCGGCAGCTGGGAAGTTACAGAGCACTAAGAGCCAGGAAATGAGCAGATTAGAAAACTGAATTTCCTTACTCTCTTCCCCCTCACACGTACACAAATCACTAAACTGAGACAGGTTTATAGCCTTCACTTATTTACCGGTGCGTCTCTCTGGCTATCGTGCCCATCATCTGGGATGTAAGCAGCAGAAGGGGAGCATCAGAGAGGTGCAGTTGGGATTTTCACTAGAAATGGGTCGTAAAAATTAAGCATGTTTTTAAATAATGGCCTTCCAGCCTATTATGGGATATAGATTTATTAGTCACTTTTATGTTTGAAGCCAGGTTTGAAAACAACCTAGATGTTGTTAGCAAAGTTTGGCTCTGAGGAACGGAAAGCTGGTGTGTTATGTTTGTGGGGTGTTTTTTTATTAAAGGTTAAGGGACCAGATTAAGAACAGCTGGAAAGGGTCACAGCTTGCGCGGGTGAGAGAGCAATCAGCAGCTTGCCAGATACACCTCAAGAAACAGGGCTGGTTTCCATCTGCACAATACGCCAACTTCACGGAGGCAGAAGCAGGGTCCCTAGAGCAGTGAGCATGTGACTCCTAATGGCTTCCCAATATTTGGTGCCCAACAGATGCCTTTTAAGTCTAGGTGCATCGAAACAGCACAAACGTATTGCAGTACTGGATAGAATCATTGAACTGCTAAGGTTCTAAAAGACCTTTAAGATCATCAAGTCCAGTCGTCCACTTACCACCAGTACTGCCCACAAAACCATGGCCCTCAGCACTGCATCACCACATTTCTTGAACACCTTCAGGGACAGTGACTCCATCACCTCTCTGCACAGCCTGTTCCCAGGCTTTACTACTTCTGAGAAGAAATTTTTCCTAACATCTAACCTGAACTTCCCCTGGAACAACATAAAGGCATTACCTCTCTTCTTATCACCGTTACCTGAGAGGAGTAGATGACCACCACCTCACTATGACCTCCTTTCCAGGAGCTGTAGAAAGCAATAACGTCACCCCTGAGCTCCCCTTCTCCACACTGCTCCCTCAGCTGCTCCCCAAAAGGCTTGTGTTGCAGACCCTTCACAGCATCATTACCCTTCTCTGGACACACTCCAAGGCTTCAACGTCTTTCTTGTAGTGAGAGGCCCAAAACTGAACATAGTACAGGAGGTGCAGCCTCACCAGTGGATGACAACACATGCCAACAGCTGCAGTTCAAATAGATCAAACCTTTGTCATTCTCTGAAATCTTAATTTACCTCCCCTTTGTTACTTTTGCACCATTTTTTTTTTTTTTTTTTTTTAGCTGGACACATTCTAGGTTAATTTAATGGAACAGCTTTGGAATAGCACATATAGTGGTGGTTGGACCCTACCAGCAAGAGAAAAACCCTTGCTGCAATCCCAGTTGTTGTGACTGAAATATCTCGCTGAGCTTTGCTGTCTGGATCCCTGATGTTGGCAAACTGGTGGGCTTCACTGAGAATCAGGGCCACCACCAGCTGAGTTTGCCTGAAGCTGGCAAACTTTGCCATCAACAGCACCTTTCCAGCCTCGTGTGATAGGCACCAAACAGCCTCAAGGCATTTGCTGAGGCTTACTGATCTCAAATATGTGGATTGTTTTTTTCTTGATGTCTCAATTTCCACATCAGGGAGATTTTTATTATTACTATTATTATTACTTAAAAATAATAACCTCTAGATTTCCTCAAAGCACACTCAAACTTGTATCAGTTCACTTGTCCACAGTACCAAGATGCTGAATATTGAGCTCTGTACCATGTGAGTAATGACTGCAAATGCTTTTTGACTTTCCTGATTTAAATGAAGTAATTGTCTCTTATTCATCTCCTGACTATCTACAGGTGTTTTGCACATGCTGTTTCTAAAGGTCTTCAACAAAAAGGCAGCAGTGATTTAAGGTTGTAGGTGATGAGCCAAGCAGAAGCTGGGTTCCACAGAAGACAAGGAACACTTCCTATTTTGGAGACTTCTCATGTACTGACCAAAAAATGCAAAAGTTGTTGGTTGTAGTTCATTATTCATGATATTATTCTACCAGGTGGCTATTGACAGGTAAGAACATCTCAAGCAATATCTTGAACAAATAGTTACAGGCAACTGAAAATCCTATCTTCCTTCTCTGGTGAAGAGACCTTCTGGGAAGGCTGTCTGTGCCCCTGAAGAAAGTGAACAGCTCAAGACTTCACTGAAGTCCTGGGGATGTGGGCTTTTCAGCACTTGTGAAGTCAGGCTCCTTATAATGAAAAGAAATCTTACAATAACCTAAAGAAAACAGAAATGTTTTCATATCATTAGGTTATCAGAGCAATGTATTTAGATGTCATTTTCCTGTTGTATTAAAAAGAATGAGAGTCCAGAGGTGAAGCTCTGGTATATTAAAAAGCAAATAGAAATAAATATTATGTCCCTTGGTTATGATTCTGTTCAGAAGATGCAATGATCCATCTGTCTCACACCCCTCAGCTTTGTGCAAGTATTTCCCAGATAGTGAAGAGGTACCACTGATAGAATTTACTGCCATAAATAAAGTATATTCAGGAAGGTTTTCTTGGAAGCGTCTATTCTGGCATAAAATAAACAAAAAAAAAAACAGCAACCTAACAGAAGACATCACAGAGTTAAGAATCAAAGCAATTAATCCACCAAATGGAGGCATTAGTGATACCCCATTGTGTAAGTGTGCTGGAGCAATATCACCATCCACCAGAGAAACTGCCACTTGCATAATATTATTTTATGGTACAAACCTGGCAAAACATTTCCATTTTCTACTCGAAGAACCATCTCTCTTAATAATGGTAGAGGTTTCCCTTAGACTTTAAACAAGATGAAACTGTGAAGGTTCTTGGGTACTATCACTGGAAGGTCTGGAGGAGAAGAAAGGCAAATGCCCAATTACATAAGAAAGTCAAAGTACATTAACTTGATGAAAAACAAAACAAAACAAAAGCAATTCCAGCTGGACAACAAAGAGATCTCAGCGGGTTTGGGGCAGCCAATGCTTCCCCAAGTCGTAATTGTCCATCTCAGCATCACTCCTTCCTTAATAGTCATGGGCTCTGTTGTCATTTCTTGACAAAGCAACCCATCTTTTTTGCCAAGTTAAACATCAAATGAGTGGAGAAGTTGAAATGCCTTTCATTCATTACCATGTCCAGCAGGTTGTACTCTTATCTAACCTACCCAAGGGACTTTTTCATGAAATGTCTGTGCAGAACACAGTTCTCTATCTAAATTAGGGAAATGTCTTCCCTGGCCAGTTCTTAAGGAAGGCAGGAAAGATTTCATAACAGGACTGCTTAGCCCACAGCTACATGCCCCTCCTGTCTGTCCAGGATTGGGTAGCCACCACTTGTTTGGTTTGTCTACACTTCCCTAGGGTCTCATCTCATACCACTGCTGGTTTGCGGTTATAGTCAGTGGCCTGCAGCTGGTCTGGGAAACCACAATAAGCACATACATATCCCTTAGCAGGTTGCACAGGCTGTCCTCCCAAAAGAAATACAACAAAAGGAAAGTCCCAGATCATGCAGAAGTGCTGTGTTTAAGCTGAGGTGATGGGAGACACTACTGGGGGAACTGTGGAGAGAAACAAATCCACACTGCATCATCTTGGAGAGTACTATGTGAGGAAAGAGAAATAGAGACTGTCTCCGTGTCTTATTCACCCAGCTTTGTGTGTGTCACTCTTGGTCTGTACTTCAATATTCGTATTCATACATTTTCATCATTTTTATCACTTCTTTCTTCATTATAATTAATTTTTTCTTACATTCTTTTGACTTTGCACAACGTATGTGGATGGTTCTATCTACATTTTTATATCTCTTCTTTGTGAATATTACTTTAACAAATGTAGTTGAATTTCCCTTATTTGTGAAATGCACTTCAATTAATATCAGTAACAGTTTGGACAGTAGTGACACTTTCCTCTCTTAGGAACTCAAATAATTTTACAAATATTTTCCAAAACATTTTAAAACTTTACCAAAGGATTCACATCACCTCTAGCTCATCTAAATTCTGGAGAGGTTACATGAAGACTAGTAGATTGCATGACATTTGTGGTTGTCTGTCTATTGGAGAACATAAAAGGATGTTTGTTTTTTTTTTAAAACAGATGTTTTTCTGACTTCACTGGCAGTTTACAACAAATATCACATGAAATCCAACTTAAAGTTTTGAAAATGATAGATTTGTCATGTAACCCTAACCACCTAGCAAGAGATTTTTTTTCATGCGAGTTGTCTCACTGACTCAGTGATTTTATAGTCAAAGTGACACTGAAATGTAGTTGATGTATGAGTTACGTCGACTTTTATCCAACTTTTCAGCAGGAAAGCAGTAAATAATGCTATTTTGAGGTTAAGTGCAGGCATACTCACAACACCAACACTGCATTAGCTTCATTTCATTCACATTTTCAAGAATCTTTTATTCATAATGGGATGATTGCGGTATGCATTGAACAAAATTGAAGTCCTACATTGAGGATCCATTTGATGAAGAGGACCTTCATCAAATATATTAATTCATGAAAATTTCCATTGGCATACTACAGTGGTCTTGTTATAATAAAAGAGTAATATTCTGATTTGAGAAAGAAAGGGTGTGGCTGAATCCTGCTTTTATAACTTTTAAATAGCATCTTTTTTGTGGGTATATCTTTTATCAATACACATATATGCACTGGGAAGGGACTTTTTATAAGGGCGTGTAGTGACAGGATGAAGGGAAATAGTTTTAAATCGGAAGAAGTTAGATTTAGACTAGATATTGGGATGATATTCTTTACTGTGAATGTGGTGATACACTGGAGCAAGTTGTCCAGAGAGGCTGTGAATGCCCCTTCCTTGGAAGGCCAGGCTGGATGGGGCTTTGAGCAACCTGGTCTAGAGGGAGGTGTCCCTGCCTATAGCAGGGGGTTGGAACCAGGTGACACTAAAAGTCCCTAACAACCCAAACTGTTCTATGATTCCATGATATATGTATTACTGTGCTCAGGTGCATTCCAGGTGAAGGTAGTGCGTCCTGGCACCATGGAGCTGCTTACAAGGTTGATGGTGAAATATTCAGGGATTTTTTCCTTATTTTAAGTGCAACCTTCCATCTAGTTTTAGCTGCAGGATAGTCAAAGGATGTGTACAACTGACACGTAATTTAACAGCTTTTAAAAATACAGTGTGTTCAATGTTTCCCATGAAGCGAAACTAGTCTTCAAAGGGTGATACTATTTTGTCACATCTGAGAGTTCACATTCTACTTAAGTTTTTACTGCAATACTGAACATGAAGCTAGTCTACAGAAAATTAATATACTCCGCTTATTCATACATATATAAGCAATACTATAGAAACACCCTTCTCTAGAGCAAGGCCTATGTTATGCTTACCTTTGTTGTACAAACAAGTCATGAAACAAAGCTGAACTATGAGAAAGTGAGGCATGCAAATGCAGACTCGAGTCCATCAGAAAAGCTCTGCCTCAGTGTGAAGGGGCTGGAGTGCTGTCCCTGTCCCCTGGGGGTTGGAAGAAACAAAATTCAGTGAATACAGGAATATTTGCAGGATGGGGCCCTACTTCCCATAGGTTTTCATTTCACTGTAGGATCCAGCTACTGCACCTATAAAGACAGAGTATTTTCTTGGACTTTCTCATCATCTATTTTCTTTCTAATGCTTAAAAATATTCTGCAGAAGGCTCAAGAAGGTCACCAGTTAATCAAACAGGAATTTCAAAGCTGATGCTCTGCTTGCCTCTGACATAACCTGTTTTGTGACAGTCCTGGGTGATGACCCTGAAAACTCATGTGGTATTTACTAACATGCAACAGTGTCTTTGGGCTAGTTCCATACTATCGCGTGTCTCAGAGCACATGCTGCCAAAAATGCTAGCAGAAAATGATTCTTTTCAAATAATCATTTATGTACACTAGAGTTCTATGTTTTCTTCTTTTTTCTTCTGTTTTTGTAATTTATAAGTGTGCACGCAACCCCTTAGTGAGGCAGCCTAGGAAATAGGACAGATATTTTCAAAGTGCCTTTTCCTGGTAAGACAAACAAAATGCATTTCTGTTTTAATAGCTGAGAAACAGAATTATAGGCTGAAAGTAACAATTCCTGCTAACATATTTCAAACAAAAGGATCAAAATTCTCAGAGTAAAGGGATGCTGAGCATGAATTCTTGTTCTACTGATTAGGAAAAAAAAAAAAAAGTAATTTATTTCATTGAAATAATTCTTACTTGACATGTAATGAACACAATCAAAGTTACAGGCTCATTAATGACTTTCTAATGACAGTCTCCCTCCGAGTCACATTAGGAAACCACTTATAGAGTGGAAAAAAAAAAATTGTTAAGGGAAAAGTCTTAAAATAACATGCAAGAAGCACAAGTATTTAAATTGACCTGATATCAAACTGTTGCAGTTACTTAGATTCCTAAAGGTGCAAATAAGTATTTAGTAAGATTTTAAAAATATGCTGTTGATCTTAAGGTGTCTGCATTCAAATATTTTTCAGCTACCAATAAGTCCTCTGCTTTCAGCATTAAACCAAGTGCCTGATGTTTCTGGATACGTCTAGGAGTCTTTCAGTGACAGCAGAGCTGAATTCCCCAAGTCTAATTTGAGTCTGACAGGCTCCGCAATCATGTTCCTCTGCCTGTATCACCTGAGGAGCTGCATTCCTCATGGCAGGAACATTCACCGAGGGCCAGAGACACCTAGATTTCAGCCCCTGCTCCAGTGGCTGGTTTTTATAAGATTTCTAATGTAGATGTTAAATATAAGAAAAAAATGTATTTTAAATACATAAGCCAACCAGCAAAGCAAGGACAGGGAGCCAAGCGTCTGTATTCCTAGTATCTCCACTTTTTGTGGATGCTACCTTCTTTGCCTCTGTGAGCTGCTCAATGAAATCTTCATATGGCTGGAGGGCACTTACACACACACATGCTACTAATGCAGGTAGGCTGAGGGAAGTGGAAGCTCTCAGGAGGAGCTGATGATGGTTCATTAGGAATCCCACCGGTCCATTACAAGGTCAGATTGGATTAGCCATGCAGTTCTATCATCAAGGAAATAATATCACCCTGAAAAGCATGGGTTGCCAGATGCCCCAAATAGGAGTTGAGATTATTTCATAACCCACTGCAACAATTCATAGCACCAGCACTTATCATGCAACCAAGATGCCCCTAGGAACCATCTGCTGCTCAGGAACTGTATGTTGCAGGGCAGCGTGGAGTCATTGAGGAGAATTACTCTTGTTTTGTTTTCTCTGGATTTGGAAAACAACTTCTAGCAACACATCAAAGTTTGAGGCAATGAAATGTACATCGGCTGCTCTGAAAGTAATGCCTCCTATTTATTTCTACAGAAACTGCAACAGATACAAAGAGCACAGTAACAGTGTTTGATAAAGCAGTTTCTTAGCTACAAAACTTATTTTTCTGCATAATCACCATGGTTAGCTGATTCCTGTGTGGATGAGCTGATAGAGACACTCTTTGCTTCACAGTGTGACAGCCGGGCATGGCCATAGGAACATGACTTGTCTTTCACGTTGCTGACACTACTGCTAAAACACACCACCCATTGCCTCACTGTGCTCACATCCACTGTTTGGTCTCCAGAAACATTCAGCAAGCATCAATGAATGTCAATGAGTATGACTTTTCCACACAGAGGAATTCAGTGACACACCCTTACTTCGTACACAGTTCCATGGCAGATGTCATTTTGTCAGACTGCCCCTCTGCTGCCATCCGTTGTACAGCAACAAAATGTAATGGAATATTTGTGGAAAGATTCAACCTCTACTACCGTACTACTGATGTCTGTTTCTGTGATTGTTTGAAAACAAAATAAAAAGGGAGGCATTACTTTTGGAGCAGTCCTTGTAGTATACATGCCAGTGTTACATAGGTGAGCCATGCTGCCTTTTGGAACTGAAGAATCCTTATTTATTTCTTGTAAATTGGCCTTATTTCAGGTTTGGGCTGCTTCACATGTTTTCCTACAGGCTGATGGTTACAGTGGAGTATGTGAAGGTGCATGAGACACCTGGGATCAGGAAAGCAAAGTAAAGCCAGGCCCTCTCTTCCTTCTTCCTGGAAGAGAGAGCATCTTGTTTCCACTCCCAGATTTGATTAGTTCTCTCCTCTCCTCTCCTCTCCTCTCCTCTCCTCTCCTCTCCTCTCCT